GTCCGATTTATAATGTTTGCAGATACATCCAACTGGCAATTCTCATACACAGAGCAGGGGAGGTGAAACTGAAGTCATAGATTCGACAATTTAGATATCCTAAATAATAACACAAGCAAGAATATCTTGTCTACAATCTGCTTCATTATTTAGTAACTTTGAAATAAAGGTCATCGTTAAGATTTAACTTTATTCTCCTTGAACATATAAGTTTGATGCATTAACACTGTGTTACGCATGCATGTAAACACGTCATGATCCAATGACACGATAGGCTACTCTAACCCAAGCGTCCTAAACCCCATTGAATAGAAGAAGACTTGATGTGAAGTAGAACCGGTATTCTACTAGCATCCATAATGTACGAAGTCCGAGTCCAGAGGAGGCAAAGGATCCCGCACTATGGATCCGGGTCATAAAATATTAAAAAATAATGCTTCTTTATACAGCTAGGTCGAACAGGGAAAAACGTTGAAGTATGTGACATTGACCGTTTAAGACGACCAATAGAGTTAGACTTACAAACAATTATCTTAGGATATTGGATGAATATCCTAACACACTCCAGTTTATATCAGTATTGATAATGATTTACTTCTCATCAATGATGATATCAATAACGGTCTATTTGTACAATAAATAAAAAAAACCTTTTGTCTCAAGTTAATGCGTTATATAAGTAAAATCAATTGCAGAATAACTAAATTTTCTGATAGATTTTAATATAATATACACAGCTAATTAATTCATCTTTCTAATCAATTGTTATTTTGTGCGACTTTCAGAAGAAAAATCTTCCAGAACAAGAAAATACCATCCTTATTTAAATGTACACGACAATCAGAATAATTTAGTAGTAGTAGTAGTAGTAGTAGTAGTAGTAGTAGTAGTAGTAGTAGTAGTAGTAGTAGTAGTAGTAGTAGTAGTAGTAGTAGTAGTAGTAGTAGTAGTAGTAGTAGTAGTAGTAGTAGTAGTAGTAGTAGTAGTAGTAGTAGTAGTAGTAGTAGTAGTAGTAGTAGTAGTAGTAGTAGTAGTAGTAGTAGTAGTAGTAGTAGTAGTAGTAGTAGTAGTAGTAGTAGTAGTAGTAGTAGTAGTAGTAGTAGTAGTAGTAGTAGTAGTAGTAGTAGTAGTAGTAGTAGTAGTAGTAGTAGTAGTAGTAGTAGTAGTAGTAGTAGTAGTAGTAGTAGTAGTAGTAGTAGTAGTAGTAGTAGTAGTAGTAGTAGTAGTAGTAGTAGTAGTAGTAGTAGTAGTAGTAGTAGTAGTAGTAGTAGTAGTAGTAGTAGTAGTAGTAGTAGTAGTAGTAGTAGTAGTAGTAGTAGTAGTAGTAGTAGTAGTAGTAGTAGTAGTAGTAGTAGTAGTAGTAGTAGTAGTAGTAGTAGTAGTAGTAGTAGTAGTAGTAGTAGTAGTAGTAGTAGTAGTAGTAGTAGTAGTAGTAGTAGTAGTAGTAGTAGTAGTAGTAGTAGTAGTAGTAGTAGTAGTAGTAGTAGTAGTAGTAGTAGTAGTAGTAGTAGTAGTAGTAGTAGTAGTAGTAGTAGTAGTAGTAGTAGTAGTAGTAGTAGTAGTAGTAGTAGTAGTAGTAGTAGTAGTAGTAGTAGTAGTAGTAGTAGTAGTAGTAGTAGTAGTAGTAGTAGTAGTAGTAGTAGTAGTAGTAGTAGTAGTAGTAGTAGTAGTAGTAGTAGTAGTAGTAGTAGTAGTAGTAGTAGTAGTAGTAGTAGTAGTAGTAGTAGTAGTAGTAGTAGTAGTAGTAGTAGTAGTAGTAGTAGTAGTAGTAGTAGTAGTAGTAGTAGTAGTAGTAGTAGTAGTAGTAGTAGTAGTAGTAGTAGTAGTAGTAGTAGTAGTAGTAGTAGTAGTAGTAGTAGTAGTAGTAGTAGTAGTAGTAGTAGTAGTAGTAGTAGTAGTAGTAGTAGTAGTAGTAGTAGTAGTAGTAGTAGTAGTAGTAGTAGTAGTAGTAGTAGTAGTAGTAGTAGTAGTAGTAGTAGTAGTAGTAGTAGTAGTAGTAGTAGTAGTAGTAGTAGTAGTAGTAGTAGTAGTAGTAGTAGTAGTAGTAGTAGTAGTAGTAGTAGTAGTAGTAGTAGTAGTAGTAGTAGTAGTAGTAGTAGTAGTAGTAGTAGTAGTAGTAGTAGTAGTAGTAGTAGTAGTAGTAGTAGTAGTAGTAGTAGTAGTAGTAGTAGTAGTAGTAGTAGTAGTAGTAGTAGTAGTAGTAGTAGTAGTAGTAGTAGTAGTAGTAGTAGTAGTAGTAGTAGTAGTAGTAGTAGTAGTAGTAGTAGTAGTAGTAGTAGTAGTAGTAGTAGTAGTAGTAGTAGTAGTAGTAGTAGTAGTAGTAGTAGTAGTAGTAGTAGTAGTAGTAGTAGTAGTAGTAGTAGTAGTAGTAGTAGTAGTAGTAGTAGTAGTAGTAGTAGTAGTAGTAGTAGTAGTAGTAGTAGTAGTAGTAGTAGTAGTAGTAGTAGTAGTAGTAGTAGTAGTAGTAGTAGTAGTAGTAGTAGTAGTAGTAGTAGTAGTAGTAGTAGTAGTAGTAGTAGTAGTAGTAGTAGTAGTAGTAGTAGTAGTAGTAGTAGTAGTAGTAGTAGTAGTAGTAGTAGTAGTAGTAGTAGTAGTAGTAGTAGTAGTAGTAGTAGTAGTAGTAGTAGTAGTAGTAGTAGTAGTAGTAGTAGTAGTAGTAGTAGTAGTAGTAGTAGTAGTAGTAGTAGTAGTAGTAGTAGTAGTAGTAGTAGTAGTAGTAGTAGTAGTAGTAGTAGTAGTAGTAGTAGTAGTAGTAGTAGTAGTAGTAGTAGTAGTAGTAGTAGTAGTAGTAGTAGTAGTAGTAGTAGTAGTAGTAGTAGTAGTAGTAGTAGTAGTAGTAGTAGTAGTAGTAGTAGTAGTAGTAGTAGTAGTAGTAGTAGTAGTAGTAGTAGTAGTAGTAGTAGTAGTAGTAGTAGTAGTAGTAGTAGTAGTAGTAGTAGTAGTAGTAGTAGTAGTAGTAGTAGTAGTAGTAGTAGTAGTAGTAGTAGTAGTAGTAGTAGTAGTAGTAGTAGTAGTAGTAGTAGTAGTAGTAGTAGTAGTAGTAGTAGTAGTAGTAGTAGTAGTAGTAGTAGTAGTAGTAGTAGTAGTAGTAGTAGTAGTAGTAGTAGTAGTAGTAGTAGTAGTAGTAGTAGTAGTAGTAGTAGTAGTAGTAGTAGTAGTAGTAGTAGTAGTAGTAGTAGTAGTAGTAGTAGTAGTAGTAGTAGTAGTAGTAGTAGTAGTAGTAGTAGTAGTAGTAGTAGTAGTAGTAGTAGTAGTAGTAGTAGTAGTAGTAGTAGTAGTAGTAGTAGTAGTAGTAGTAGTAGTAGTAGTAGTAGTAGTAGTAGTAGTAGTAGTAGTAGTAGTAGTAGTAGTAGTAGTAGTAGTAGTAGTAGTAGTAGTAGTAGTAGTAGTAGTAGTAGTAGTAGTAGTAGTAGTAGTAGTAGTAGTAGTAGTAGTAGTAGTAGTAGTAGTAGTAGTAGTAGTAGTAGTAGTAGTAGTAGTAGTAGTAGTAGTAGTAGTAGTAGTAGTAGTAGTAGTAGTAGTAGTAGTAGTAGTAGTAGTAGTAGTAGTAGTAGTAGTAGTAGTAGTAGTAGTAGTAGTAGTAGTAGTAGTAGTAGTAGTAGTAGTAGTAGTAGTAGTAGTAGTAGTAGTAGTAGTAGTAGTAGTAGTAGTAGTAGTAGTAGTAGTAGTAGTAGTAGTAGTAGTAGTAGTAGTAGTAGTAGTAGTAGTAGTAGTAGTAGTAGTAGTAGTAGTAGTAGTAGTAGTAGTAGTAGTAGTAGTAGTAGTAGTAGTAGTAGTAGTAGTAGTAGTAGTAGTAGTAGTAGTAGTAGTAGTAGTAGTAGTAGTAGTAGTAGTAGTAGTAGTAGTAGTAGTAGTAGTAGTAGTAGTAGTAGTAGTAGTAGTAGTAGTAGTAGTAGTAGTAGTAGTAGTAGTAGTAGTAGTAGTAGTAGTAGTAGTAGTAGTAGTAGTAGTAGTAGTAGTAGTAGTAGTAGTAGTAGTAGTAGTAGTAGTAGTAGTAGTAGTAGTAGTAGTAGTAGTAGTAGTAGTAGTAGTAGTAGTAGTAGTAGTAGTAGTAGTAGTAGTAGTAGTAGTAGTAGTAGTAGTAGTAGTAGTAGTAGTAGTAGTAGTAGTAGTAGTAGTAGTAGTAGTAGTAGTAGTAGTAGTAGTAGTAGTAGTAGTAGTAGTAGTAGTAGTAGTAGTAGTAGTAGTAGTAGTAGTAGTAGTAGTAGTAGTAGTAGTAGTAGTAGTAGTAGTAGTAGTAGTAGTAGTAGTAGTAGTAGTAGTAGTAGTAGTAGTAGTAGTAGTAGTAGTAGTAGTAGTAGTAGTAGTAGTAGTAGTAGTAGTAGTAGTAGTAGTAGTAGTAGTAGTAGTAGTAGTAGTAGTAGTAGTAGTAGTAGTAGTAGTAGTAGTAGTAGTAGTAGTAGTAGTAGTAGTAGTAGTAGTAGTAGTAGTAGTAGTAGTAGTAGTAGTAGTAGTAGTAGTAGTAGTAGTAGTAGTAGTAGTAGTAGTAGTAGTAGTAGTAGTAGTAGTAGTAGTAGTAGTAGTAGTAGTAGTAGTAGTAGTAGTAGTAGTAGTAGTAGTAGTAGTAGTAGTAGTAGTAGTAGTAGTAGTAGTAGTAGTAGTAGTAGTAGTAGTAGTAGTAGTAGTAGTAGTAGTAGTAGTAGTAGTAGTAGTAGTAGTAGTAGTAGTAGTAGTAGTAGTAGTAGTAGTAGTAGTAGTAGTAGTAGTAGTAGTAGTAGTAGTAGTAGTAGTAGTAGTAGTAGTAGTAGTAGTAGTAGTAGTAGTAGTAGTAGTAGGTAGTGTGGTGTACGCTACTTATGTTCACATAAGTAGTATATGATATCAAACGTCTGACAGCAAAAGATCGAGAAGGAAAGAATGGGAGAACAGAAGGCGATTTGTAGGTAACGTAAAGTGAACTGAAGTCTGAACAGTCTAAATGATAGAACACTGAAATCTGAAACAAATAAGGATTAGTTTGCAAATGATGATTCACGGGAAGGTTTCGTAAATATGCCTAACAACTCTGTAATATCCGCGTAAATTTATTGTTGATGTCCTCACCTGGGTTTTCGTGCACAACAGTAGTAGTAACACAGAAGTATTAGCGGTAACCAAAAATGTGTAGTGATCAAACTATACAACAATTGTATATTAGTTAAATATCCCTATTTGGTTCCTTTCAAAACCAAATTGAGTCTTTTTATCGTCTAATTATCGAAATTAAGTTAGAATCATTACTGTCTAACAATATCTACGAACTGTTTTATTCTGTTATCAGTGTTGCTAAACCAAAACATGGCAGAAATCTATGAAATCACTGACAAGTGAACTGAGTCATGTTGGCAGATGTACGCTACCTGGTTGGGGTCCGTGAGACGTAAGTCACCAATGGTTAGTGACTTTGTAAGACATGGCTCAAAATCGTTTGCAATGGCGCAAGTGCATCCACTCTCTATGTTCTCTCAAAATTCAAACCATCTGAATTCCTCATCATCTCTATCTTTCTCTTTTTAAATTTGTCTCACTGAATTATACTTCTCGAATCATATCTTCGAACCCTGATCTTCTCCATTACTGCTAATACTTCTATTATTGCTATCACTCTTGGATTTGAACTGACAGTTGCGTTTCTGTGCTAATGCGTTATGACAACCTGAACTGATGTGCTTACGAACAAAGTCCTGCGTTGTATGTCTGTCTGTCTGTCTGTCTATCTATTGCCAATGTGGACACTCAGAATGTATTGCCTTTACATGACTTTAGATGATAAACGGCATTGATAGTCTGCTATACATTTTTTCTTAATGCTTTATTCCCTATGTACATATTTCAGAACCATCAGTGGGTGATGATGATGCTCAGTTAGACATTGGGAAAGATGAAAATGATCAATCTACCATAAATGAAAAGAATCAATTTGAAACTATGGATATTGGTTAGTTATAGTTGTAGTTGTATTACAAACAAAGAGATCCTTTTTTAAAATATACACGTACTTATTATTATGTATATTTTCTTATGATAAGTATAATGATTTACTAGTGTCATCAATTGTGTGAATATCATTTAGTAATCTATAACCACAGTACATTTTCCTGAGATTGATCAGAGTTAGCCGTTGTTGTTGGATGTCGGCACGGTGGTTCAGTGGTTCAACGTTCGCACGCGAAACCGAAGGTCCTGGATTAGTATCCTGTGAGAGTAGCTTGAGTTGTGGATGCGAACCACTGATGAATCCCATACCTGGACGAAACGGGTGTCCAGTGCCTCCAGGTTTCTAATGTAACGGCCTAACAATGACTCATTCATGATTTCAACATATATACTACGATCTTTTTATTACTGAAGTGCAAAATAATCATAGTGTCATTTGTTATCGATTACATATAACTTGTCTAATTCTATCGACTTAACATGAAAACATCTCCGGCTGGAGCTCTTTTTGGGTCACTGCCGGTCCCAAACTCGGATAAAAGAGAAGGGTTGAGTATGGGATTAGCGACCTCAACCGGTAGAAATCCAACTCGTTAAAAAAACGCCAACCAGTAAAAGTAACACTGGTCGGCAGCCTATGGTCAATTAGGGGTAACAGACATAAGTAAGTAAGTAACATAAAAACACAATACTTAGGTTACAACTTGTTCGATGGATTGCGATCGTCATGAATTTCTTCTAAACACATAAATTTAGGTTGAATGTACGACTTCCTATGGTTAGCAAGAGACGAGATCGAACTTCGTTGACAAATGATGAAGGTTTACGTAATAGATCATTTGAAATGATTCAGATTTATCTCCATTATGACCAATATCAATCTGATGTGCCAAGATAGAACTGTGTATTGTATTTATCTGACCCGTTCTAAACCATTCTAGAAAAGGTTCACTCATTCGTTGATTAAGTTGCCCGGTAGTACGCCCCGATGTAGCTATCTCCACAGGAGCGGTTGAATTTGAATATGCACATTAAAGACGCCAACTCAGGTAGCTGATCCTTCGTTTGAGTAGTCGACTCG